TGAAGGGCGTTGGCAACATAAATTTTGCGAAATATGTCGAAATATTGGAGGAAGGACTCTTGCCAGTTTATTCCTTGGGTTTCGTGGACAAGAACACAACGTTCTTTCAGGAAGATGGAGTGCCATATCACACTACTAAAAACACCCAAAAGTGGCAGGAAGAAAATGGTATCCAGAAGTTGCCCTGGCCGAGCCAATCTCCTGACATGAACCCCATCGAAAACCTCTGGTCTATACTCGACCGGCAAGTCAAGAAACAACAAAAAAAAACAACTTCTAAGAGCGATCTACTCTAAGTTTTGAAGTTAGAGTGGGCGAAAATCCCACAATTTAAAATTGACGAGATGATTCTCACAATGCCCCAAAGGATCAATGAACTCCATGAAGTGGAAGGAAGATCTACTAGATATTAATTAAATTATAAATCTATCAATTCATGTGAATATGACTGAAAAATTTCATTTTTTCTGAAAAGGTGGTGTCTATTTACTTGTGACCAGGCTGTGTACTGTATGTGGATGTGTATACATTGTTTTGGTTGCTTGTTTCTTTGGATGAGGGGTGACAACATTAGGCTGAAGTGGCTCTTGTGATTTTGTGTTTTTCTTTGTTCTTTTGTTCAGATTTTAAACAGAAATTGTTTAATATATGTTTCAATTTTATCCTAATTGGGTTTCTCCAATACCATAAAAAGTTTACACTGAATATAATAATTGCCCACAAGGTTTATAAAAAGTATGTACAGGCCTATAGTCATTGGTTCTAACACTTACAATATTGATTGTTTTAAAGGTGTGCACTACACATACAGTACTGTGCAAAAGTGTTAGGACAAGGGAATATTTTTTCATTCTTTCATTTTATGGGGCTAATTCTTCCATGTCATTACAGAATGTAAATTTCAGCACTATGGTAATGCTTCACTGATCCCTATTGACAGTTGAATGAGCCAGGGTGAGAATACTTATCATTCTTTAGAATTTCCATATACTTGTACAAAGGGCATGTCATAAGGGTTCTGCTTGAATGAACATACTGATCAAATTTAGGGCCTGAAATAACTATAATGGTACTCCATGCAGTGTCTTAACTATATAGAAAGAAGCTATCAAGGAGCTAGCATATGGTACTGGTATATGCTAGAAGAAATCAATTTAATAGCACTCCATAAATAAACCTTGATAAAGACAGTGTTTAACACTATATATTAAGTTTTGTTGAGAATTGTCAGTAGAGCAGAGAGTTTGCATAAGAGCTTTGTGATGCTGGTTGGACTCTCCGACAAATTGCTGCAGACTTGAAATGCTCCCAAAACACTGTCAAATACACCCTAGATTGTGAGACTGAGACAGGTAAATTTGAAAATAGGAAAGTAAGAGGCAGAACACCTAAACTCATTGATACTGATGTTAAGTATCTTCGTTTATGTAGCCTTCGGGACAGAAGGAAGACTGCCACTGATCTAAAGCATGGGATAAACAACCATGTACCAAATGACAGAAAAGTGTCCAGATCTTCATTATCAAGAAGACTCAATGAAAATAGAATAGTTGGTCATATAGTAGTTAAAAAACTTTTACTTCAATCTCCAAATATTGTCAAGAGACTGAAATTTGCTAAAATGTACAAAAACTGGACTGTTGATGATTGGAAAAGGGTGTTATGGATGGATGAATCCAAGTTTGAAATATTTGTTTCAAAGTGTAGATTGTACTTCCCCAGAAGAAAGGTGAAATATACTTATTTCAATGCATAGCACCTACCATGAAGCATGGGGGAGGCAGTATGATGGTTTGGGGGTGTTTTTCTGCTGAGGTGATACGAGATATTTTCAAAATATATAGAATAATGGACTAGCGCTAGTATCATCAGATATTGGTCCATCATGGTATATCCAGTGGTTTGCATATTATTGGTAAAGGATTCTACTACCAAGAAGATAATGACCCCAAACTCTCATCCGACCTATGCAGAAATTACTTAGTTAAGAAAGAAGCTGCTGGAGTCATTCAAATGATGCAATGACCCCCACAGAACCCCGATCTCAACCCCATTGAGCAGATCTGGGACTTAAAAGATCAAAAACTTTACAAATCAAAAGTTACTTCTAAA